ATTCCTGACAGCTGCTGTAAGGTTGGTTCAACATGTACAAGTGATGTCTTGAAAGATGTTGCAGCAGCTCAAAGTGTAGTGTACAACGATGGCTGCCTCCCAATCATAACCAAAGCAGTGCAAACCAATCTGGCAATTGTTGCAGGGGTCTCCTTTGGAATTGCCTTCTTCCATTTCATTGGAATAATCATGTCTTGCTGGTATTCTCGATACCTTACCTTTACTCACTAAAATCAAAATGGAGCATGACACAGTATACGCACTTCCATATATGCCCACATGAAGCAAGAAGGTGGAACATGAAATGAGGGATGACAAAGAACTTCACTGCCCAGGGGACACCAAGTGACAGGGTGAATACTTCACTCTGTCACACCACCATTGTGGCGGCAAATTGATAAAAGTCTAAACTTGGGACTTTTACGGTCTTTCATCAAGCGGAACAACGGAGAGAGGATACAAGAGTTGAATCTGGAAATAGGAAAATTCTAGAAGAAAAATCCAGAAAACAGGCAGTTAGGCAACATTATGGAGGACAACTGCTGCAGAAAGTCCACAATCAGAAACTCTTTCTCGACCATAGGAAGACGACCAGGGAGCCTCGCCGGAAATAGAAGTCTAAGGGAAGGGGAATATAATACATAATATGGATAAATATTGACCTATTATGATGTTTAACACTACACTATCATTTAAATGCTTTTAATATACAGGGATGTTGTGTAAATTCGTGTATCGGTAAATTTTCAATTTACTCCAGTTAGGTTTTCCGTACAAGGCTAAATATTGAAGCACATGTTGTTAGTCAAACATTTGGCCGGAGTTAGACCAGTGCTTCCCAAAACATGTTGTTAGGTGTTCTTCAAGCTAGGATATTACATGTCCAATAAATGATATCTTCCGTTATCAACATTTTGGTGACATGTATACTGGTTTCTCAACTGGTGCCAAAAATACACTTTTAATTATCTGATGATTACTATATTTATTCATCTGTGATTGAATGAAGGGTATTTATTCTTACTCGGCGTAGTATTACTGTGTTAAGACCTACAGTTTGATTTCAGTAGACATTCAGACGTGAGCTCAGATGTACATTTTATGGCGATTTTGGAACTCGCTGTGGTTGAACGTCATCCACGACTGTTCAGTCGACAAGTTCGTAAAGCTATGGTTGTCTCCCGCAACAAAGCTACTTCCATGTCTCATGTCGTTTAGGGCACGGTGTATGTTTAAAGATGACCGAAATATTGCGTAATTATATTGGAATTAATTCCAAACATAATTGTTAAAACAAAGGTAAATAAAATAAAATATACGTCTTACAACAGTTTAGTACTCTTTGTCGAGGGGAAGTTGCCTTTTGTTTGAAGAAAGAATGGAAAGTCATGTTACTCATAGAACACCATCCCTGCAGTGACACACAGTTTTGGAAATAAGAGACTGTAATTACCAAACTGTTCCGTATTTATATATACTTGAGCAAAAATCGCATGAAGGTGGCGCCAGACAGACATCGATCTCGGATTTGAATATCCTATGAGACTTGCCTAAGACTTTCTATAAACACTATTCCAAGTCTGTTATTTAGCAAAATAACGTCTACGTCTTTCATAAGCAGTTTTGGTAATAAATCTTATGTTTGTATTTTGAGTTTTGTGAAATGCATGCATGTTTACTGTACTTTAATTCTGTAAAATATATCTGCAAAATATTGTATTTTTGTTAATAAAGGATGTGATAAAACCCAACATCTGTCTTATGAAGACCAGAGCAGAGACATACAACTCATTATATAAAGTCATAGAGCTGTCATTAATAAACACTTTTCTCCTCTCAGACATACAGTGTATAAAATACAAAATGGTGATATTTCCAGGTGGAAGTCGGACTAAAAGAACAGGACAAGATGAAATTCAGAGATCCCAGACACCAACAGTGTGGTTTCCTGTCTTTAAATGACATCTTTCATACGGGAGGCCAGTCTTTGGCAATGTCTGGGTGCAGGGACTGTGGAAGCCACTGACAGTAAGCAGACAGCAGAACTGCAGGGGGAGAAAATCAGTAAAATCAGACAAAAATGGAAGGGTATATATATATATACACACACATATATATATATAGAAGTGAATGAATTAAATCCTTACATTTCTCTTCAGTCTTCCACACAGACAGCAGTAAGTCTCTGTTGTCAACTCTTTTGGCCACCAGGGGTGCCAGCAGGGCCTCTGTCCTGGGCTGTAGTCTACAACACACAGAGATGTGAATTTGCTCATTTTTATGTATAAAATATTAAATTAGATTTTATTGATACTTTCTATACTGAAAAAATTACATTTATTAATTGATAAATAAAAGAATAATGTGTAGAGTTTTTGAATGTCAGATTTATATCTATCTAAGCCAGTGGTTCTCAATTATTTTCTGTCATGCCCCCTGTTGGGGACAGCAATGGTTTCACGCCGCCCCCGCGCTCCCTTCCGACCTACACCTCAGCGAATTGAAATACTATTGAGAACCTGATAACATGTATATTTTTATCTGTACAAACCACTGTATGAGTTGCTGCCACCTAGTGACTGGAAGCTTGTTATCATTCAAGTATTACAGCAGTGGTACACTGATGTCCAGCACTGACCCTCACAGCACCTCACCACGCCCACCCTGGGAGGACGGGGGGAGGGCCCACTATTTAAGAAGAACTGATCTAAGTAGTGTTCTAAAAAAAACAACTGTACAAATCTGTGTGTGTCACTCACCTTGCCCATGACTTCACCATAATTGAGGGGTTTGAGAGGAGGTGACAACTGTGTTTCTGCAGTTTGGGGCAAACCTGCAAGAACCAATGAGCATCACTGCATTATTAGAGCTGGTGAATCTGAAACTTGTTGCTCTTCTGAATGTTGACAATATGAGACATTTCAGGGCATTTAGTTAACTACTGAAACCATCTCTCAAGGATGTCAGGATTTAAATGTTAAAAATGTAAGTAAGAAAAAAGTTTTAAAAGTCAAAGATTTATCAATAGATAAACAAACTTTATTACCTGGCCCTCAAGCAGAAACCTGGCAAACAGTTTATAGCGTTCCAGCCCCTCGGGATAATCCACCTCCACTGCTGGCAGCTGCCAACCCACGCGGACTGCAGCAGAACACAGAGGGATCTGTCATCACTCTTGGAGCAAACACATCTGTTGGTGTTGACGGGACAAGAACTTACAGAAGGTGCTGGAACGATGACACTTGATGACGCCGGTGGATGAACAGAACCATGGTACTGGTGACTCCAGAGGGGAGCTGAAGTGACAGTACTGGGGGAGAAGCTGGGGAAGCCACTCTGCTTCTGCCGCCGATACTCCTGCAACAAGGAAGATGATTGAAGAATATACTGTAGTGTATGAACAAGTTCATTTTCAGGATACAATTCTTCTGTACCTTTCATGTACATCTTTGTGGTCTCCAGGATCTCATGGTAGACCACAAAGTCGGGCAGTGTTTTGAACAGAGCAGATGAAGGATGAATGAACACTGGGTCATCCATGAGACACGTCTGTGAACAGGAATAATAAAGAAGAAGAGCTCAGTAGGAGTGATGGCACACAACATCAGTCAGAGTCCTCAGTCAGACTTGCCTTATATCCGTTCTTCCACTTAGGATCGAGCAGATCTTCCACTTGCACGCGTCGAGCCAGATGATCTCCCAGTCCGGCCAAGACGATCTGACGCAGGCAAAAGATCTGGTTCTCATTGGGTGGAGCCATCTTAGGATCCACAAAAAGTCTCACGTCTGGGCACACTGTGTTGACTGTGAGGAACCCAAAAAATGTGTCCGGATGTTGTTTTCTTCACAGCAGCTGAAATATGTGTGTAGTCGTCTGTGTTTTGTTTTTTCTTTCACTTCAGCGTTACCTGCGTTGGTCAGCTGCCCTCGGAGTTTCCTGATTTCAACCATGGCTTTGTACCTGAGGCCGTTCTCCTCGCAGAATTTGGGAGTACAGCCAGAAAATTCACAGGCACCGACAGCACCTGTCAACACAGGATGTGTTTCATTGGTCCATATTTTGATATTTATTGGCTCGGTAAAAGTTAATAACTTGTTGTATAACTTGATATTGTTATGAACATGAAGATTTAAATACTTTTTACTTCACACATTTTGAATTGAAATAACGTTCCGTGCTAGTGCTTCGGCCAATTTAGAAAAAAGCTACTGTAATTCTCTATGCCAGCAGATGTCCCTGTTTCTCCTCACAATGAATGCTTCACAAGACTCCATTTGCCCATCACTATGGTATTATGTAAATTAATTTGGTTCCATATTGTCCATATTAATAAATAGTGACATCACGTGGTTTAAGGAGTAATTGTAACAAAGATAATTGTGTGTTATATGTTGGTTTCAAACTTCAAATTTCTGATAACAAAAGTGAAACATGACTCCTCTGACCAGTGGCATCTAAATGGTAATACTCATCATTTGACACTTTTTTGTGGAGTAGACTGAAATTATATTTGGATTATAAAAGTCAGGTTTCATGTTGACATTTCATAGGGTTTTCTGTTGACAGTCTACAGTAGTCTTCAGTCAGAGCTCACCCAGCATGACCATCAGGTCTCCTAGTAGAAGTGAGGCTCCATGTCCGGCCCACAGCCTCTTCATCTGAGCTATACGGGCACGACGCTGTACGAGCTTGGAGTTCTCGTCTTCACTGCCGGCAGGTCTGCAGGGTAATAAAATATGACACAGACTTAAGATCAGGGGCCAAAAACTAAGCTTCAGTTCCAACACCTGTCAACTGATGTTATAACAGCATCAACACATCACCTGTTAAGGTCTTCGAAGATCTCACGGACCGTCATGGCTGCAACCAAAGCGATGACGTACGGCAGACAATCCTGCTGCTTCCCCAGCGCTAACATTTTAGCATACCGTGGCGCAACAGGGAAAGAAGCCATGGCTCTGCCCAGAGGAGTGATGGGGCAGCTCAACCTGGCTTTTTCCATGTCTTTGACCCTGATGTGAAGAGAAAGACATCACAAATCATAGGACAGTGGTGGGATCTACCGAGTAGATACTGTAGATGGATGGATAGATAGAGATAGATCAGACAGATAGATATATAGATATATAGATAGATAATGGATGGATAGATAGTCAGATAGATAGATGATGGATGGATGGATCTTTTGAAATTTGATAGGCTGTTAGTGTCACATGGGGCACTGCACTGGCTGAGTAGCAGCGAGAAAATGAGAGAACTTCTCTTGACTTCTCTTCTCATTTGCCCGTTACCCAAAAACTATGTCATTCATCTTCCAGGTTTTCCAGGATGTGTGGGAACCCCGCCACAACTGCAGTGGTTTAACGTGTTTGTTAACTTTTAGAGAGAAAAGCCAGCGACTGTTACCTTCCAGTGTGAGGTGGCTCTTTCAAAGCTCCCAGTGAAATCAACAGCTGCTCTGCTGCCATGAGAGCCTCCATGGATGGAGACGTGGGAAAGGGAAAATTCACCACCTGCACAAACCAGAAAGGTTCAGACTTTTTTTTTTATTCACAGCGCAGATCCTCAGTTTAGCCAGAGAGTTGTAGTTCCCCACTGGCCTTGTCTATGTTGAGATCCTTCATCTGTAGAACTAGGTCCTCCACAGGCCTGCGTGTGATCTCTGCCTCTGAGAACAAACTGAAGTCTCCAAACACTGCAGAGGAGTACAACCTGAACAGAGGCAGCAACAAACACGTGAACGTCATCGTCACAAAGAAATCATTTTGCTCACCATTTAGACTTCTGACCTGTAGCAGTGACCGGGCTCTGTTCGTCCCGCCCTCCCTGCTCTCTGATTGGCCGAGGCCTGTGACGTCCACGTGACTTTGAAAGATGACACACCGGTCACTCTGTCGTAGAAACGCTTTTTAACCCGTCCGCAATCGACCACGTACTTGATACCCGGGATGGTCAGGGATGTCTCGGCCACGTTGGTGGCCACAACGCACAGACGAGTACCAGGAGGAGGAGCCCTGAACACCTACAGCCAGAAAACACACAACTTGTTACCCTCTCCTGTGACCTTTGACCTATTCTGATCTCATTAATCCTGTGTGTTACCTTGGCCTGCTGCTCTGGAGCCAAGAGAGAATACAGAGGGAGAACATAAAGAGGATTGGAAGGATCGGCTTTCTCCTCTACACAGACGAAGAGAATTCAGAGTTAGAACCTGTGTGAAACACACACTAAACACTAAATCAGACTAATGGATCTGGACTGTGAGAGCTCACCTGCATTGTCAGGATCGTCTCCGATGTCAAGGTCGGAGCCTCCGTCCTCCTCATCATCAATCCCGGCCTCTCTGTCTTCGTCACCTTCATCCACCGGCAGAGCGGAGTAGTTGTCCAAGTCTATCTGCGGCAGAGACTAGAGACAAAGTTTTACCCGTCAGAAATATTTATCGACGATAAAATTATCCAAAGGCGTAAAATGTCACACTTACCACAGGCTTCTTGTTCTTAGACTTTTTAAACTTCTTCATCGCCTCAGCGTTCTCTGCATCGTCATCTTCACCTGGATGTAAATAATTAAAAAAAAAACAATGATATGAAGAAAAACCAGCCCCTACAGATGAGCAGCATTGTGAAGTGACACAGATGTGTGTTTCACTCACCAGCAGTCGTGCTGCTCCTCCTGAAGGGAAAAGCTTTTCTCAGCCTTCGGCACAGACCGTGGACTTCTGCCTGACCAGTCAGAAACACCAGGATGCCACCTGGAGGAGGACGACGACAAAACATTACTTTGCATTTAATTTAAATATATTTGAACTCTAAAAACATAAATAATAGCTTAATTACAAACAATCATCAGTAAAACTCTACTGTTGACAATATTAATAAGAAGTTAAATAACAATAATTAACACTGAAACATTCTGATTTTATTCCTTCAGTATAACAATTAAATGTACACTATTGACTGATTGTACTTCAACTTTGATTTTGTTACTGTGTTATCACCACCTGGGGGCAGCATGCGGTGGATCTTGCAGGTCTTGTGAAAAGCCTCTCCGGTGTAATCGTCCAGTGGGGTGCGTTTGTTGAAGTGAATTGAGACCGGGAACTGACGAGCTTCCACCTTGACGACAGGCGGAGGCGTCCGGAACAATTTCTGGTTGTCGGTGAAATCTTCTACTCTGAGAGTGGCCGACATTATCAGCAGCTTCATGGGCATTCCTTTCTGCACAGAGACACAGGGTTAATGCAGCAAGAAGAAGAATGAGGACAAAACAAGTTTAACTATAAAACGCTTCACAGTGAGAATGACCTTGTTTCTGAGGGGGACGATACGAGACAACAGTCCGATCAGGATGTCTGTGTACACACTCCTCTCGTGGGCCTCGTCTATGATGATCACACTGTATTTCTGGAGAAGGAAATCCTGCCAGGCACAAACAGAAATATAGGACCAATCACATTATTAAAAATAAAAAACAAAACATTTTAATATTTTATTTTATTGTATTTAATATTTTAAGTAGCAACTGGAGCAAAACTCCTGAACCTGAATTTTCAACATAAATTCATGACCAGTTTCTTTGGTTTTAAGTAACATTTTGAAATTCGGCTATATATAAAAAAAAAAAATCAAGCATTTCAAATAAGAAAACTTTTAATTATACGTAATTAAAACATAATAAAAAGGTAAAATATGAGACTGTTAAAATAACAATAATAAAAAATAATTTAAAAATTAAATTAAACTCAATTAAATCCATATTCACACTCTGTAAAGTGTGTGAATATGCCTTTTTTGTCTAGATTATCTTAAGCAACATCACAGGTACCTTCTGGACCTCCTTCAGCAGAACACCATCAGTCATGAACTTAATTTTGGTCTCATCAGTCACATTTCCTTCAAATCGAATCTGGTAAGACACCACCCTGGGTAGAGAGACAAAAGAGGAAGTAAATGGTTGATCTTTATTTTGGATAAATGTGTCTTGAAAATGGAGGAGATTTCCACAGAGATTAGTCTGATTTGTATGTTCTAAAACAGAAGTTTATTTATTTATGACAACTACATGGCTACACCTATTTCTGATTTTTTTTTGTTACCGTTTGGACAGGTTCATCTCCGTAGCCACTCTCTGGGACATGCTAACAGCAGCTACTCGTCTCGGCTCTGTGATGCCGATAATCCCACTTTCACTACATAAAGCAAGTGGTATTAAAAAAACACACACAGTGTCATATAACAGTTAAAACACATCTGTAGTAAAATAAATATAGAACAAAGAAGAAGGATTTACCTGGCATAACCAGCTTCATACAGAAACTGAGGAACTTGTGTTGTTTTTCCACTTCCTGTCTCTCCACAGACGATGACGCAGGGATTTTCTCTCACCGCCTCCATGATAACCTGCTCCTCTGCCAGCACAGGCAGCTTCAGACGAGCCTCCTACAGCAGCACAGAAAAACATTTAGACAAAAAACAAAAAAGAAGAACCTAACAAATACACATAACATGAACACACACCTGTATTTCCGGCAACCTGTCCACAGGTATGAAGACTGCAGGTTGAGAATCCTTAACTTGAATTTTGTCCAGGTTCTTCTCACTCTGTTCATTCTGTTCTATTTTCTGTTCTTCCATAACTTCCTGTTTGTCACATGCACCCGCAGTTACTTTATCCTCATTCATTTCTGTAGTTTTGTTAAGTTCTTCTTCTTCCTCCTCCTCCTCCTCATCGTCGTCATCGTCCGAAGTAGTAATATCACTACTTTCCCCTGCCTTCTCTTCTTCACCGTCCTCCTCTTCTTTCCACTTTCTTTTCCTGTTGGCTCCACTGAGACTGCTGATCTTTGGACCTGACTGTCCATCTTCTACTTCCTCTGACCTGAGAAGAAACAGAGGTATATCATCAAACCACTGGCTCCACTTTCACAGCTTCAGTCTTTATGTGAGATTTCACTTACTGTTTAGTCTGGTAAATCTTGTCTCCTCTTCCCAGTTTGGACGTCGTGTAAAGGAGTTTAATCTCAGACTCAGGAATCTGCACCTCAGCCAGTTTGGTCAGGATCTCTGCTCTCTGCACAGGTTAGTTTGACAAGTGAGTGGTTTTTAATCTGGTCAAAAAGACAAACCTACAGTCTTAACACATTAGGATCTAAAACAGTCTTTCACCTGAGCTTTCTTCTCCTTGCGCTCCAGCACCTTCTGCAGCTCTTTTCTCTGCCTTTTAGTGAGTGGCTTTTTGGTCGACACCGGTCTCACTGCAGCATTTTTCTTTTTCTTGCCTTTGTTGGAAGGGAGGACCAAGGCATTGCTCTCATCTACACCTTTTAACCTCGCACAATCTAAAGAAATCACAACATTCAGCAAAGACAGAGCAAAATAAGTACAAATGTAAATAAACATCTCATTAAAACTCTCACTGCACTCATTAAAACCCAATACATTATCCCCCAATAGTTTTATTTATTTATAAAGATTATAAATATATCTTTAAAAATCATTACATTTAAGTGCGATGAATATTTATGCGGGATCTAGCAACTGCGATAGATAGTTTATATTTTTAAAGGTTAGAAAATATAATAGTGTGAAGTGTCAAGTAAGTCTTACCTTCCAGTTCCAGAACAATTTCTGATTTTTCTTTTTCTACTGGTTGTTCGGGTTCATTTTGTTGTCTCCCCTTCCAGTTGTATTTCTTCCTTAGTTTTCCCATCTTAAACAGAGCTCTACAACTGATTAACCTGTAGGTTAAACACCACGAAAAGCAGAAATATTGACACGTTTTTAACCAGCAAAGCCGTGAGTCGGATTCTTATTTTCACGTCCAAATATATATGTCCTAAAACTGAAACATTACAAACCTTTTATTCCAACCATTCAACAGATAACATTAGGAATTTTAAAAGCTGGGTTGAAATGTTAAGCAGGAGCAACGATATCACGTGTAAACAACACACGAGTCCTTCGCCTTAAGCTGTCCGATAGGAACTATCGGTCTTGAAAAATAGTTCCGCAAACGAGAAACACAAGGTTAACACAAATAATACAGACGAACAGGAGGGATAAAAACAGTTCTTCAGGTAAACATAACTAATTAAATAATTGAAATCCAACTACATGCTCGAAATAACGCAAATAGTCGTGAGTCAAACAAATCTTTTATTTTTGTCAATAGGTCTACAGAAAATGTCACATAAAATTCTAATATTCAAATATGGATTAAACATTTTGTATAAGTTACAGTGACTTTTCTAGCTAATGAATTTCAGTTGTGCAGCAGCTATTTCGACAGGTCACAGAAAGTAAAGCAAGTTAAAAAAAAAGTAAGAACAAAAAAAGTTTCGTAAGAAAAGGAAGTGTATCCACATTCACTTGCACACTGTTGTCCTCAACGGATCCAAAATAAAATATGAAAAATGTGTATTAAGCAAATTTGTAAATTATTTTTACCACAGACATTTATATATGAAACTGTGCAACTGTACCAATCACAAGAGAGCTAACTGGCTAGCTATCGAAATAACTAACGAAATAGCGAAGTAATTAACTAACTAACTAACTAACTAACTAACTAACAAACAGAAGAGAACAAATATCTGTTCACATCAAAAATTGTGAACTGTACACAAATAAATATTACTGACATGAAGTCAGACGTTAACAGAGAAGAAAATGTGTTATTTAAAGGTACACAGTGAAGGATTAGCAACAGTGGTGAAGTGGTGAAGTTGGAATAGAATAGACTTTATTGTCATTGTAACCCGAGGGTACAACGAAATTGAAAGTTCAATGTTTCTCAAATATTTAAGATATTTTAATAGAGTACAGCCTCTATTAAAATACCTCAAGTATCCTGTGTGTATACTCTGTTGTGCATGTTTTCGATTATCTCCAGATATATAACATAGATTTTTTTCATATAGAAACAAATTTTAGTTTTGCCTAAAATAATATTTTATATATTATAAAGAAATGAGAAATTCAATTTGCAATAAAACACAGATCAGTAGTATTTGTTTTTCTTTATCTGTAGCCTTTCCAGTTTATTTTTAATGAAATTTGTTTTTCACAGGCCAACAACAAAAAACAAAAACAAAAACAAACAAAATGTATGTGCTATAACATAGTGTATACACCGCTAATACTACAGATCCAGCCCAAATTTGATATGATCTCCTGGGCCAAATATAATTACACTGGCGGCCAGATTTGGCCCCTGCGCCTGAGTTTGACACGTGTGCCCTCGACAAAGGTAAAGACACCTTGAAGGTCCACAACTGATTAAAAAAAAAAATCAGTTTTGCAGTTGAATATCATTTAATCATGTTCAAATCTTACAGCATGGACGTTCTTTACAAAAAGGGAGCTTTAACCTGCGGTGATGAACCACAGATCGACCTTCACTGGCTCAGAGGCTGCTGTACTCGTTCTCCTTCTGAGCTTCCTCAGCTGTGAAGCTCTCTTCCGCGGTTCTCCTTGCCTCCTTGGACAGCTTCTCAAACTTCTTCAGAAACACAACGAGAGTCACCAGCAGAGCCGCCTGCACCATCAGGAACACAATCAAACACACCTGCGCGAACAGAGCCAGGTTGCAGTACCAGTAGTGACAGGAGTCCAGCAACTCCTCCTCAGTTAAATACGTCACGAGCCGCCCTTTCAGATGGGGAGGGGAGCTGCAGTTGACTCCCAGGTGTGAATTAAGGCTCGAGGGCTGACGCAGCAGCCATGCTCGCAGGTAGAGGACGCTACAGTCACAGACCCAGGGGTTGCGATTGAGGGACACAGAGTGGAGTGCAGTCAGATCATCCAGAATTCCATTGGGGAGGGTGGTCAGCAGGTTGTTGTGGAGGAGGAGCTCAGTGGTTCCACTGGGGAAACTGGCAGGCAGCTTGGAGGAGGTGAGAGATGTGCCGCTACAGTCCACACGGGTGCCCTGACAGGAGCAAGAACGAGGACATGCTGATGAAGTCTGACCTGGGATCAGGAGGAGCAGACACAGAGGCAGAAGCCTGGACATCTTTGACATGTTTCTGGAGGAAGTAGGGAAGGACAAGGGACGTTAGAACAGCACAGAATTATTGAAATTATTATTATTTATTAATTATTATCAGTTATTTAATTATCTTGTTAGCAACTGTAGGCACAAATCAACACACGAAGTACACATAACAGTTGTTGTCTCAAGTACTTCAACTCCTAATCAGAGTTAGGTTCCTCAGTGTGAGTCGAAGTACCCACGGTGAAACACATACCATAGTTTGAAAACCACTGTGTTGGACAGTGGTTTTCAAACATTTCTGGTCGTTCCCCACTTTGAAAGATTTTCGAGCTGAACCGGCTCCCATCAACCCAACACAATTCTTGACAAAATACATTTCAAATTTATTGAAAATTTATCATTTTATAATGAGTCAAAACCAATACCATCAAATCAAATTATCAAAGTTCTAAAAGAGAAAACAAAGCCATCATCACCACGAAAACTTCCCATTTGTCATGTCTCCACTCCCCACCATTGGGCTCTGCCCTGCACTTTGAGAATCCCTGTACTAGTAGGAGTTCCATTTACACCCATCCGCTTTTCAAATGGAACATTAAAGATGAACTAACGCTTCAAGTTCATGCACATTTATATGACATGCATATTAATACAGATCATCCTACAATGCAGTAAAAATGTTAGAAGAATTTTGTTTAGTTCATTTAATTGAATCGTCCTTTAACAGTTATTTATTAGCTAAATTAAATTTCTTCTATTTCTATGTTTAAAATTCAAAGACTAGAAACTGCTGCTAAATGTGCATGAACTCAAACCATTGGTTGTTATTGTGTTGGACAACATGTGTTACCATTAACTACATGGCCAGTTAGTCCATAATGTAACACCCTAAATACTGTAATATATTTTCGGATACTATTTAGACATATTACTCTGAACGTGGTATTAAGTAAAGAAAAGTTAATATTTTTAAAGCATAAACTATAAATATTTGTAGACTCGTTTTTTCAGCCTTTCTTTCAAGTCCACAACTTTGCAAACACACGACTATGTGACATTTTTACTAATACTAATATCTAACAGCATTTAGTGATATTCCATGTTATTCTGCTTCGGTGTGAGTTATTATTAAAAGTTATAAAAATAATTTGTAATAAAGTCTGCGTGGAGAGAGTTTTACCTTCAGTGCTGCCTGTCCTCAGGAAAAGACTATTTGTGACTGACACTCCGAGATATATTGTGTGTGTGTGTGTGTGTGTGTGTGTGTATGTGAGACAGCTGTTCTTCACTGATAAACACCAATGTCAATATAAACAGTCTTGTGCTCCACCGCAAAAAGATGTATTTTTTCTTAACATTTTTCCTTAGTCTTAATCTCCGCAATTGTTCTAAAAACTCACCATTCTAGAGATAAAAAGTGTAATACTGGTCGGTGTGATACTAAATATCAATTCCTAGAAATTGTACATTTAGTTTCCTCAGCTGTCAAGGAAACAATGCCTCGTGTGGTGCAGAGGAAGACTGTCGGCCATAGATAAAGTATGGATCGGCAGAAAAGGCTCCAGATGCGATGTGTGATGTTCAGACTGTGAGAGGAAGTGAGAGGACGACACAGGAAAAAAAAAAAAAAAAAACTACGGCTGAAAACGGTGACGCCAGAGTGACGAGAAAACAAGAGTTTATTTGTAAATGGGGTACGGACGCACGCACAACGATGACACAACTCACAATTCCGATTCTAAACACGAGCATAAACACAGCGTTTACTCGTCATTTACATTTCATCTCATAGAAGCAACACTTTTGGTCATGGTGTCTAGTGAAACACACGCAGCAGTGACTACAGAGCAGTAAAAACAGGTCCACAGCTTTAAATGGGTATGAACAATGGCAGCATGCTCGCACATGCACCGACCCTCTCGTTATGTCAAAGGCTCTCTCCTTCACAGTTAGCCACTGGCAATAAGTGCGTTTTCAGCTCAGCCAGCACAGACAGAACAATGCTGGAAGATGATATGTCGACTTGCCAAATGTAAAAAAAAAAAAGTTATATGAAGGCGTCAAAGGGGGAAAGAAGGAAGTAAGAATGGACAAGAAAATAAAGTTGTTTAAAAAATAAAGAAGTCACTGTGTCACACACTCATGCATTCACGCAAACACACGTTCACATTTATATATATGTATATAAAAAGGAGCAATACAAAACATCTCGTAGCCACGTGTTCATACCCTGACAGATAATGCAAAAAAGACGAGCAGTTCATTTATAAATTAGATACACTGACTAGTAATTAAATTACTCATTATTATCATTATTATTATATGTGTTAAGACTGTTAAACCACAGAGGGAGGGGGCTCAGGGTGGGTAACACATAGTTTCAGAAAAAACCAAAAAAAAAAAAACCCTGATAAAGCAAACCTCCAAGGAAGAGTTATACAACCACCAGAGTTGACACTAAAACATGATATCCAGAGTTCAACATCTGAGGGACTTGCTGTTGTACAGAGGAGAAACAGCAGGTGGCGATAACAGCACAGCTCAGCTCAGTCAATGGAGGTGTCACTGATCTTTGTCATGCATCTGCTGCTGCATCTTATTCAGCATCTCCTGCATCCTCTTCAGCTGCACACAAAGGTCAGAGAGTATAAGTGCCGCACACACACACACACACACACACACACACACACACACTATTTCCCCCCAGTGTGGGGTAAATAGTAATATAATCTCATGCTCATACTCATGCTGAGTTTAGGTTTATTTCATTAAGATCTGTTCATTTTTTTTTTTGGTTCCCTGAATCTCATTCTTACCTTTGAGCTAATAAACTAACTAAATTTTACATGTTAGTGATTATTTTTTATTGTTATAAATCAGCATTTAGCAGATTTTTTTTTCTACTAAACATTAGCATTTCTGAGCTAACACAGCTGTCATTTGGTTAGCTAAGAAATATTTACATGGCTAAAAATAATTATTGGTTGGTATGTTTTGGAAATGTAACCATGTTGGCTAGCTTTTAGCTGCCTTGCTATATTTTATGGCTAAACGTTTTGAATACTAACTACTAATACTAATACTAAATACATAAATACGTTAGCTTACATAAATACTAAATAGTAAGTTAGTGAGCTAGTTTGACTCAAGATTGTTTTGTTAGTCGTGGTCATTGCTACATATATTAATATAGCATTTAGCTATTTTTTTAGCTTACTATGCTCTTTAGGTGGCAGTTATTTTTTCATCTTTAAGCATTTTATTTCAGCTAGTTTTGTTAGCTAGTTAAAGCTCAGTTATCGTATGATCACATTTTCTGTCGAATAAGACACAAAATACAATACATTGTACATGGTAAAGAGCTAAAAGTTGTTGGTTGAACAGTGCTCCCTGGTAGTTGCTAAATGCTAAATTAACTACATTTATATCTATGGAATTAAAGGCATCGTGAAAATAACAAAAACAACATTCAGACATTTTAAGTACACTCTGCCTGAATTCTCCACAAATCTCTTTGTACCTCCTCGTCTTTCATTTTAATGAGTTTCTCAGTGTCCACATCCGGGGTGGACAGAGGCAGGATGGGAATTGGACTCTCCATACGGTTGTCCTGAGCCAGTTTACTGAGGAGTAGAGGACAGAAAAAAAGACAAAAAAAAAAAACTGAATCCCAGACAGAGCTTTAACTAACACATGAAGCAGCCTTGTTTGTCACAGACTTGTACCTGGTCATCTCCTGTATGCACTGTGCTCTGTAGTTTTCATAGTGGACGTCACAGGTCACGTCCTTCAGGTCGTGCATGTGTGAACGAATCAGCATGTTCCTCAGTTTCACAAAATCACAGTGTGACTGGTTTTCCACTGCACAGTACAAACGTAATGAGTGAGACCAGTGGTCAGATTCAGACGCAGCGTTTGCAGCAGTGTGTTGAAGGTCAACTCACCTTCAACGATTCCCCAGGGATACAGTCTTCCTCTGACCCTCTGCCCTCGAGCCTCGACCACCGTG